CGGCCGGGCGGTGCTCTCCCCCGCGGGACGGGGTGCGGTGCGTTGTCAGCCCCGCGGGCGGGACGGCGCGGGGTTGATTTAGCCCTCGGGGCGAGGGGAGAGCGGACGTCGGTCCGCTTTCTCCGGGCACCCCCGGGTTCGGGTCTTCGGGCGCCTCTCTGCAGCTGTCAGGGCTAAAAATTCACCCTCATCACCTCGCGCCGGGAGCGAAGGCCTGGAGTCATCGCTTGTGAGCGATTTAGTGGGGAATAAACCAGGCACTGTTAAATTTGCCCTTTTGGCTGAGGCGGGGAAGGATGAGGAAGGCAGCGTCTCTCATCTCAATTTAGAATTGCCGTCGTTTTTATCTTTATTAAGGTCTCATCGTAATTTGAAAGTAGTCAAGTTGACCAGTCGTGGTAAATCTCAGCCCCAAAACCAAGACTTTTCAGTTCCACCTCCTCTGTGCAGCTCCCCAGCTTGACAGTTTTCTGACAAAGGATATATTCAGAGGGAGCATCATTTGCTGCAGATGGTCTGTCCCAGCTTTTTACAAGGGCCTGATGGATTGAGAATTTCTGCTGGTCCCGGTAGTCGCACTTGCCTCACCGGGTGAAAGGCATTTTCTGAGATAAGTAAGTCCAAGTCTCAGCTGGTGACACTTTAAATTCTGTTAAAAATAGATAAGTGTCTCAAAATGTTCTCTGTAAAAGAGCATTGCTCAGCAGGAGATCCTGTTCATCCTGCAGGTAAAGGCTGAGATGATGAACGCATAGTCGGGCGCCAGGAAAGGCAAAAATTGAGTTGTCATTGTGCTGCCGGCTGAGGTGCATAAGCTTATGATAGACCCCTTACCCGGGAGGATGGAAATCATCTTCTGACAAGGGTAGTTTGATCCAAAAAATAGATTCCCCCTTGCCAGCCTCTGACTGAGGTTGTCCCCAAAGCATATCATAAAATGCTGCTTCCTCGATACTGAGGTAAATGAAGTCACGTGGGTTCTTTTCTCCTGCCATCAGTGGCTGACGGGTTGTTCCCTGCCTTCGGAGCAGAAGCTCTCAAATAGGTTTTCGGGCTCTCCTGGGAGCCGGTGACTTCTGACCAGGGCCGTACACAGCCATGCTCAGCAGTTAAGATCTGATTATTATTTTTTCCCTTCTCTTTTCTGTACGTCCCGAGCTGACACCCTGAGAAATGAATGGTCAGCCTCTGCCTCCAGCCTCGCCTCCCTGCGCCAGCCTGCCTGAGTGCTCGCTGCTTCGGCAGGGGTGTTTCACCTTGCGAAGGATGCCTGTGTGCCTTTCCTTTGCTTGCCTGCCTTAAGAGAATGCTTTGGGGTTTATCACTTTAGAAACCGGTGGTTTGGGAAGATTATGAGATTACAGGCTCCCCAATCCTGTAAACATTTGCACATGCTTGATGTGATTTCGGCTGCGTGAGTGTTCCTCATGGTGTGAGACGGCTCATTTGAGGAAAACCCTGCATGTGTTTAAATGCTGCAGGGTTAGTGCCAGAGATACCAGCCCGGTAAGAGAGGAAATGACTTATTCAGGTTATTTGCACTTCCATTTTTTATTTTAATGACCATCAGTACAATGCAAACACTGAGCAGAGAGATGCAACACCCACACAGTGGGGAGAGATCAATTTGATAAGATTCAGTGTTTCTCTGTGGTTTGGGGTGGGACGTCGTGTAATGGTTAGCTAATCCTGCTGCTGTATCTTCCAGCAAAACAAAGAACGATGAAGCTTGACGTTCTTGGTTGTGCTCAGGAGAACCCAATTCCTCTGTGCTACTTTTTCCTTTCTTTTCTTTTTTCCTTCTAAAGGGGAAGGGGGCAAAAGGTTTTCAGACCTTCTTACTACATCAGAAGAAAAAAGGAAAACAACAAGATACCACCCCCATTTCCTCCCCTTTGCATGTTACTTGCAACGTTACGGGTAAGACATCAGATTTTCTATTTCACCTTGTTTTGTGCATTTCAAGTCCTGCTCTTAACATTGTGTTGACGCAGACCTGTACGCTAGAGTTCCTTGGGTTTTGTGGGTTTTGTTGCTTTCTCCTAAAGGTCGGGGAGGCGGAGAAGAAGCCTTAAGATGTGGCACTGTTAAGCTGCGTCTTGTGAAGTTTTGTGCACCCCTGATCTTGCCTACCCCAGAGACACACAGCCATCCGGCCGTTTAGTAATCTCTTTGCACGACTTCACAAGATTGACAGGCTGTCCCGCAGCTTCAGGTTTAGTAACATATTTTGCCAAGTTTGCACAAAGTCTGCTTGGGCATGTGAACATGCGCTATCCTGCAGCATTCATAAATTTAAAAAAAAAAAAAAAAAGTCCTTCAAAGGCACATATGCTTTCCTGTGTGCTAGTCCCTTCAATTCTGAGATTTCTCGGAGCAGGCACTGTGAGTCTTGGTATTCCCCGCCTGCCTGAAATTGTTTTGATATCTGCAGCATTCTGCTTAATCGACACTTCAGATGCCATCCACCTTGGAAGCTGTTCATGCCACGAGTGGTCTTTAATAAACATATTTACTTTCCCCCCTCCTTTTTTTTTTTCCTTCTTTTTGGGAGAGTTTACATCTAATTTTGGATCATTCTGAATTTTTACCATATATGGTCAGGGCTCCTTTTCAAACTTTGCCAAAATGAAATGTGATGATTATAGAAAAATGAATTATGGAAGGGAAACTAGGAGAGCTAGTTTGTTAATCCCCCTTGTTCATAAATTGTCTTTTGCTGTATGCAATATCTCAAACTACACAAATGCCAGCTTCTTTTGCCAGGGAGTCACTTATGCTCAGCGGATGGTCTGATAGGCTTGTGTTTAGAACTGGATTCTGTTCTTTTTCTTTGACCATCCTGTTATGTTTTCTGCCATGTGTCAGAAACGCTGCATATGATGAATATCTTGATTTTAACGATGTACTTAAGATGCCTTGAGGTCAAATGTGTGCTGGTCAGCTTTTGAAAAATCTCTGAGGAGGATTTAGGTTCCAGTGTCTCCTTCCTGATTCCTGTTCTACAAAGGAAGGATCACAATATTACTTTTCCTTTTCAAAGTGCTTAGAAGGTACAAGTGCTAAGTATTTTAATCCATTAGGCCATCAGTTGCCTATTTTTAGTACCTGAACCATTTTTAATGTTCTTTTTACAATGCAAATGTGCTTTTATTGAGGCTGACAGAACGAACTGTTTCAAACCACAGGGAATGGGGATCTATCAGGGACTGGTTTAACATAACTCTTGTGAAAGGTGGTGTACAGCACATAAAGATCAGAGAACTTCTGTGAGGTGCTTGTAAATTAAATGGTGAGAGACTTCTCTAAAAATGCCAGTATTTCAAACTGCATGAAAGTAGGTGAAAAATGTTTTAAATGCAAATGATAGACTAGCTCTGTTAACGATGGTATTTTTTTCTGCCTTTCCAGTAGGGCCGTGTACCTGCAACTGGGACAGCCATGGAGAAGAGTGGGAACATTCAGCTGGAGATTCCTGACTTCAGTAACTCTGTCCTGAGCCACCTGAATCAGTTACGCATGCAGGGTCGCCTATGTGACATTGTGGTCAACGTGCAGGGGCAAGCTTTCCGTGCTCACAAGGTGGTGCTGGCTGCCAGCTCACCCTACTTCCGTGACCACATGTCCTTGAACGAAATGAGCACCGTTTCCATTTCTGTCATCAAGAACCCTTCTGTTTTTGAGCAGCTCCTTTCTTTTTGTTACACCGGTAGGATATGTCTGCAGCTAGCTGACATCATCAGTTACCTAACGGCTGCCAGTTTCTTGCAGATGCAGCACATCATAGACAAATGCACGCAGATTCTCGAGGGAATTCATTTCAAAATCAACGTGGCAGAGGTGGAAGCGGAATTGAGCCAGACCAGGACAAAGCATCAGGAGAGACCACCGGAGTCTCACCGGGTGACGCCAAATTTAAACCGTTCTCTGAGCCCACGTTACAACACCCCGAAGGGGAGTCGCCTGGGGCAGGTTAGCACAGTGCTGGACATTCGGGAGCTCAGCCCGCCCGAGGAGTCCACCAGCCCCCAGATAATTGAGCAGAGTTCAGACGTGGAAAGCAGGGAGCCCATACTACGGATTAACAGAGCTGGACAGTGGTATGTTGAGACGGGAATGGGAGACCGTGGGGGACGGAACGATGACGATGTCCGGGTGCTGGGAGGAGTACACATTAAAACGGAGAACCTGGAGGAGTGGCTCGGGGCAGAGCATCAGCCATCGGGAGAAGATGGGAGCAGTGCTGAGGAGGTCACTGCTATGGTGATCGACACCACAGGCCACGGATTGATGTGCCAAGAAGCTTACGCGTTAGGGTCCTCTGGGGCCAAAGTGGTCAGGCCAACCAGCAGTGAGATTGACAGGTGAGTTTTCTTTAACTTAATTACTGACCTTGGCTGTAAGGAGATTATGCAAGATATTCACTTGGCTGGGTTGGTCGCTTTGGATCGTTTCCCCCTTATATGTCCTGTGGCCATTAAGCGTAAGTGCTGAAGGAAGTTTTTCGTGGTGCTATGAAGTGTATCCGGTTTGGGTTATAGTATTTTGGCTGGGTAGTGATCAGACCAGGATCTCCAGGAACAGACTAGCTTGGGAAATTAATTAGTAGCACTTGGAGATCTATAGGTTGGAACCTCTATGTCTTGGTATATAGCTGAGGTGGGGTTTTTGTCTAAAGAAGATATTGCCATTCAGTCTCAGTAGATATCATGCTCAGCATCGGAATTAACAAGGTCACATACGTGTTACGCAAAGTGTCATTGCAATGATGCCTTCTGGCCTGAAAAACTGGGGGTGGTTCTGTTTGAGAAACAAGCTGGTCACCAGCTGTAGGTCAAGAGGAAATTTTCTTCCCAGTGGTTCAGGACAGCAATGGGTTGTGGGTTTACATCTTCTGAAGCAGTTGAAGTGGGGAGCCCATCAGCTTCTGCTGTTGTTTTGATTTATATGAAAGGGCAGAAAGCCTTTATGGAAAACAGGTGGTGAAATCTGCTGTGTTTTGATTCTCCATCCATCCGCTTCCCCTCCACTCCAGCATTTGTTTTCTTGCCCTTAGCTCAAACCAAAGAATGGATCTGATAAAGGGCAGATCTGTTGTGTTTAGGGGGGTTGTATTTGTGGGGTTTTCCTTCACAGCTGCCTCTCTTCTCTTCTAGCTCAATCCCTCTGGTCCCATGGGGGAACAGCTACCTGGAAGCAATGGATATTCTGTCACTTGTTGCTTAATAAATCAGTCAGTGGGAATGATCTTGAGCTGGCCCTTGGGAGAGTGATCCTTTCCTAGTTCCTTAACTCTTTTCCATGGATCAGCTAGCTTCGAGCATCTCTTTTTGCACAGCACTCAATATCCACTGTTTCCTACCTGGAGTCCATCACATCACTTCTGTTTCACACTTGAAAGGGAGAGGAGGGCGAGGGTGGTGAATGAGAGGTGCCCTTAGAGAAATGGTTTCTTCTCCCGTTGTACAGTTCCTGAGTCTCTGGGCCCACATTGGTTTAATTGCGATAGCAACCGAAAAGCTCTCTGTTACTGAACTGGAAGCCAAATGACTCAGTTTTATTTTTCAGATGTTAAGACTGAAACCACAGACCAGTATGACTTGGTTTTTCCTTTATACTTGTGCTGTTCCGCCTCCTGTGTGTTAGCTGGTGAGGATGAAGAGATGCTATACAGGTGCCTCTATTGCTCACCCGTTGTTCTAAACACTGTAGTGACCTGATGCCCATTAAAAACTCCGTTTACACTCTTCCCCCACCCCACAGATTTAGCCCTTCTGGCAGCATGGTTGCTGTGACTGAGCGGTACAGATCAAAAAGCGAGTCTCCCAGGCGGATGGATGAACCCAAGCAGCCCAGTTCCCAGGTAGGCAGATCAAGAAGTTTGCAAGTAAATGTTGGCATTGAAGGTGAAGGGGACTGTGTTGTGATGAAGTGTATAATGTTCTTTGTTTGCAAGCAATACTGTTTGTGTAACAAAGACCTTTTACTGTTGCAAAGGGTTTAGTTGCTCCCAGTGAGAACATACGCTGTCGGTATATGATTTAAAACCGATTTTGGCTGTCGTTTGGGATTTTAGCCAGATACCTGGAAAACACAAGGAGTTTCTCTTGTTATCTGAAGGCATAGATATCAACCCTCATTCTGGGCAGGCCACCAACTCCTCAGGAGAAACCCCATTTGCCTGCAGAGTTGGATCTGCCCTAAAACACTGACAGCAAATGCCTGAGCTGAGGGAGGAGGTGTTAGTTGGCTTCTGTGGAAGACTGAGGGCTGACAACAGCTGAACCTTTCCATGCTAGTGCCAAAACCATTCCAAAAAGCCCTCCAGGCACTACACCAGTAAACCCGTAGGGTGGTGCGTCAAAGGACTGTGGATTTGTACAGAGGTCTCCGTCTCATCCCCAAGGGACTGTGTTGCATAGCAGAATTTGCAAGGTAAAGTAGCTCCAACTCCTCAGCTTTCTTGGGGTACGGGCACAGTTTTGGGGTAGGAGGGAGAGATACGCGGAAATACAGGAGGGCAATGGGCTATAGGGTGCAGGAAAGTGGGGCACAGTGGTAATAACCTGTACCTAATCATTTTGATCTAATTTTTTTGTTCCATACAGTCACTATTGCAGTGGCACTATATTGCAAGTGTATCGCCCAACACTGTGTAGAATGACTCTTGTGTGCCTGGCAGATAAGTAATGTGTCAGTTCATAATCAAATTACTTTGCTGGAGGCTGGTAAGGAGTTACCAGGCTGCTTTGCCCTTGAGTAAGACCAAGTGAAGCAAGGGGAAAAAAAATCATGATTGCTGTCTGCTAACTTTGTCATACACTTCCATAAAACAAAAGTTATCTTTTTGTTCCTATTTTGCCAAAGCTTAGTTTTGTATCCTCAGAATACATCTAGAAAATTTCAGGTCAAACTAACCCTCCAGGGCAAATGCAACATACAAAGCAATTTTAGCTCTATGTACAGAAAAGCTGTTGTTATTTCTCCATCGTGAAATGGCCTCAAACATAAAACGATACGCTACCACATACACGGGGAAGTGTCATCACCTTCCACTCTTCTGGTATTGCCATATCGATGCTAAAAATAGTCTGCCCGTGATCCCTGCCCAGTGGCAGTGGTAGAGTGGAAAGAAAGTGCTACAGCTTTGTGCATCTCCTTTAGTCCTGAGCAGCTTACCACTGCTTGTACAGCTGGACTCAACGGCATCTGGCACGGTTACACTGCTGTGTGCGTGTGCAGCCCCCGGGTCGCCAGAGGAGAGCCCCCCCTGCCGTTACGCTAGTTACTTGTCTGCATTTGACATCATCAGGAAACAGCGTAAGACTTGGGAGTGCAAATACTGCACCCTCCAGCACGGAGGCATTCAGAAGACTGTCTGTGCTCATTCTGAATGTGATAGCCAGAAGCGGCTGTCCTAGAGCCTGAGCTTGCAGTTCGGGTTTACTCTTGGCTATTTGTCTTTCTGGCTTCAGAAAATGAGGAGCCAGCTAGTCCTTGCTGTGTGACTCGGGCTAGGCATGCTAGCTCTCTATGCTGCAGATCCTTCCCTGTAATGCCGCAGGGCTGGGCTGGGTTACACAGCCATTTCGGCAAACGTGATTCATTATAAAATGAATCCTGAATGACACGCAAATAAATACTTGTGTAAAGTGACACCTGAAGAGTTTCAGATATGATCTGTAGTTTATTCCACCTTCGTTTTACTGCAAGCTCATCAATTGGCTTATTTTTTTAACCTTTAGTAAGTAAAACAGAATGCGATATACAGTATTTTAATCAAACTGGCCCAAGTGTTAGAAAAAGTAACATGTATTGACACGTTTGATCCACAACTCAATCAGTGGCTAAGCGCCCTCCTGACAAGGGCTGTCTCTTCTTCCCCGGATCTAACGAATGACTTGGCAGAAGGGGCCGCCATTGCAGAGGTTTCTAATTGATTGCTCATTTGTCTTCAGCCCCAAGGCTCCAGTTAAGCGCTTAAGTGTCTGCTTGAGGTTGAAGGCATTAGTGCTGCTGATTTCGAGGTTTGGCACATGCTTCAGTGCTTTACTGGCTGGACTGGGGCCTGATCTTCTTTCCTGCAATTTGTTTTAGACTGCTTGTTATTTAAATCTCTGTTGCTTGCTTCGCAGGGGGAGGAATCAGCCATGCTTGGAGTGAGCGGTTATGTGGAATATCTTCGGGAGCAGGAGGTTTCAGAGCGCTGGTTCCGGTACAACCCACGGCTTACTTGTATTTACTGCGCCAAATCCTTCAACCAGAAAGGCAGCCTGGACCGGCACATGCGTCTCCACATGGGCATCACGCCTTTCGTCTGCCGCATGTGTGGGAAGAAGTACACCCGCAAGGATCAGCTGGAGTATCACATCCGCAAACACACAGGCAACAAGCCCTTTCACTGCCACGTCTGTGGCAAAAGCTTCCCTTTCCAGGCCATCCTCAACCAGCACTTTCGCAAGAACCACCCTGGCTGTATGCCTTTGGAGGGGCCTCACAGCATCTCTCCTGAGACCACCGTCACATCTCGGGGGCAGGCAGAGGAAGAATCTCCTCCGCAGGAGGAGGCTGTTGCCGTGGGGGAGACGGCACAGGGATCTGTGTCCACGACCGGGCCAGATTGAAACACGGCTGCAGAGTCTGGGGAGAAAGGACTGTCTTCCCGTTTTTGGCTCTAAAGAGTCAGCACCAACCTGGCAGGCTGGTACTGTAATTAGTGCAATGCCACCACTGGACAGAAAGAAGCTCCCAAGATGTTGCCAAAATAGAAAAATCTTTCTCTCTCTCTCTCTTTTTCTCTCTCACACCCCCACACACACACGTAGAGTGTTAAAAGTTTTTCTCCCTTATTCTTCCTCCTCTTGGAGAAAAACAAAACAACTGTGTCAATCAACTTCTTATTCAGGGATCGACAGGATTTTAAATTTTTTTAATGTTCCGTAGTGATCTGGGACAAGCAGTCATTTGTATTTCTCAATAGCATTTTGGCCCAGCAGCTAGGTCTTGCTGGCCATCAGCCGTGCAGACCCGGTGAGCCTAGCGTGCAGGGCTGCTCCTCGCCATATCTGCTGGTCCAGCTCAAGGGGAAAGCAGGGGCAAGGTGCTGTTGCCTTCCTCCATCCATTCCCCAGGTAGTTGCCACGTTAAAGAAAACAAAAAGACTGTCCTGGTGGAACCTGCCTTGCCTGAGTGTATTTATCCCTGTCTTATTTTTGGTGTGTCTCTTTTTACCTTTTTACTTAAACCATTATTTTAGGGCTTTTGGCTTGCCCGTTCCAGGCATGTGGCCTCGATGCCCCTTGTTAAAAGCGGGCACGGCTATAAAGCGGTATTGTAGAGGTCAGCAAAATTTGAAGCGCTTCGGCTACTGAAAGTGAAATTTAGCAGCTGTGAGGTTTGCATTAGACTCTGATGCATTGGGAGAAGGGTTGGAGGGGTCTTTTGGAGGAGGTTGTCCTTTGCTGTTGCTGATCTGGAGAGTTTAGAGCACTCTGACATCCTGACCAGTGCGCTGCTGTGCTTCAGGTGTTGCTGAGCATTAGGAAGAGTTCTTCTGGACTGGCTGAATTGTGGAGTTAGAGGCTGGCTACCAAAGTCGTCCTGCACCCCTACTCCCCCCTTGACACGCACTTGATCTTTTATAACAGCAATATGGTATACTGAAATACTATCATCCCAGCCGAGCAATTGTGGGTGGTTGCTTTTAAACGTGTTTCTACAAACTAGTTTGATAACTTTTTTATCAATGAAAGAAAAGAAAACCCTACTTTATTTCCTCATAATGGTTCAGGAAACTTAAAAGTGAATGGTTCCTAGAGCAATCACAACTCTGTCCCCTTGCATGGACTTAAACTTTTGTATTCTAAGCAGCTCTGATGTTTAGAGCAAGTTAAGCAAACCTGGAGAGACATGCCTGCATTGTGTATTGTAGGTGTTTGCACGTGCTTACGTGTTTCATAAACGGAAAAGCATGGGACAGGTAGATAAGTGCAAATATCTTGACATCTTTTGAAGAAGTCTTTTAAAAAATATGCAATACTTTAAGAGTTTTCTCTGGTTCTGATGCCAAGTTGTTCATGATGGAGGGGGAAGATGAACGACAGGTTGCACAGATTGGGTTTGGGAGAGGACATTTGGTTGAAGGAGTTTTCTTGAGGACGTATAACGTGTACAATAAGCATGAAGTTCTGATCCTTAAGGTGATGGGAGGAACAATGAGACATTGAAAAAGCAATACACCTCATCTCGCTTTGGCAAAGCAAGCCAGGCGAGTGGTTAGAGCATAGGCTTGGCAGGCAGGAGACTTACCAAGTGAAAATAAAGCTTGCCCCACAATCTCACTGCACAGTTTTGGGCACATGGAAACATCTCCAGCCCTTGCTTTCCCCACCTGCAAATTGGGACTCAGGATCATTTCCCTGCCCCTGTAGAGGGAAGAATTTGGAGTGATGTATTCTTGCCTCACTTTATGTATTTTTCTCTTTTATAAGTGAGGGCTCTCACTGTTCCTCCCATGTCTCTCTCAGAAAGCAGACGTAGCTCTAATGTTTTCTTTGGCGGGGGGGAAGGGAAGGGCTTGGTGCCAGGATCATGTGTAATGGGGATGTGCTCCTAAGAGAGGAACCTTTACAGGTGTTCTGAGTTGGGCATTGACCATTTCAAACAGGAAACTGATATTTCACCTCCGTTTTCCTTCTGTCCCTTCTTCCTCCTCTCCTGTCAAGTGCATCATCACACAGTGAATGATTTTCTAAGCGGCCACCCGAGGGACCAGCCCCATTGGGTTTCCTGTCGAAGGTCAAACAGGATTGTACCGAAACAGTAAGGTTGCCAGAGAGCAGTCGCAGAAGATGAGAGATAAGAGGGTGGCTAAGGTAGGTTTCGTTGCAATCGAGGTGCGGGGAGGAGCAGAGACGTGCAGAGTATGCTGCTTTAGTCATAGCTTTTGAAGTTACCAAAACCAAAAAAGTTAAAAACTTTGAAATCCTATCCTGTTCACACTAGAGAGCATCAAAAGTTACTTTTAGTTGCTTAAAAGATTTTTAAGTGTTTTAAAATAGAACTTTTAAAAGAATACTACCAAACTATAAAAACATAAAATTATTTATATACTTATATT